ATAACTCCAGATGAATTATAATCTCAACAAAATATGAGAATTCTAGCAAATTCTAATTTGTTTATATTGTAGGATTAATGATGCATTAGCTGCTTCCTTTTCAGACGCCTCTGGAATTCTTTCCTTTTTTTCTTTTTTAAAAAAATGAAGGCTTTGTTTTTTAAACTTCTGAAAACTTGGCAAGTCATTAGCTCTCAATATGAAGCCACAAACAACTCTTGCGCAAGGAGATGAATAGATATTATTTACATACTTTCACAAAGGGAAGCCATAATCACCATTCGTCATGGGTCTTTTTAATACTCGCCATATTCATGGTCATAACTGCTCCATAAAACAGAACAGTACGCACTGTACTTCAGGACAAACATAACAGGAAGCACTTGTCTTTTTATTTAGAAAGGTGAACGCTGCTTCTTGGCTCAACTTTGCAAAAACTTTAAAAAATATCCTCAGTTCAGTAAAAGCATGAAAAATGTCATCTAGGCAGATTTCAGAAAGGACATTATTTTTACATCAACAGAAATATATGAGAGGGCAGACCAGTTCCTGGCGTGTTCACCATCATTTAATGAATGAGGCAGCTGGCAAATATCCCCAAATAATAATAATTATTATTCTGCTTCATTTCAGTACTATTTTGCAATTGTTATTTCTTATCCTCCTCTCCTCGTGAGTTATATAACTCCCCATGAGATATAATCTCAACAAAATATCAGAATTCTGGCAAATTCTAATTAGTTTATATTGTAGGATTAATGATGCGTTATTGAGGCGGGGGGCAACAACAATTAACAAACAACACCAATTAAACACTTCAGTTAAAACACACATCAATTTAAAAGAACAAATAAAATGTACACATATTAAAACAATCCACATCTAAAATTCAACATTTAAAATTCACAATTTTAAAAATCATCAGGATAAGCCTGATTTTTGAGTTGCTATTAGCCAGATCTTGTTCTTAGGCTGCATCTACACTGCAGGATTAATGCAGTTTCACCCCGCTTTCAACTGCCAAGGCTTTGTGCTATGGAATTTGTAGTTTTACAAGGTCTCGAGCCTTCTCTGTCACAGAACTCAGGTGCCAAAGCAAATGCCAGGATTCCATAGCATGGAGCCATGAGAGTTAAAGTGATGTCAAACTGCATTAATTCTGCAGTGTGGCAGCAGCCATAATCTAAATGGAGGTGGGAATTTGCTAAGAGTAATGTGATGCCTGCTATGCCTCTAGTGATGCCACTGCTATGCAGCATAGGCACTCCACCTTGGAGAGCGGTGGAGTCTCCTTCTTTGGAGGTTTTTAAACAGAGTCTGGATGGCCATCCGTCGGAGGTGCTTTGTTTGTGAGTTCCTGCATGGCAGAATGGGGCTGTACTGGATGGCCCTTGGGGTCTCTTCCAACTCTAGGGTTCTATGAATCTACGAACCATGTAACAAGCCAGTATGAACAAATTATATTGACCAAAATGTCCGCCCTTATAAAACCATTAAAGGCGCAAACATTCTCCACTGCCCTCTTCTCAAGCCCATCCTACCTCACTTATTATTTTGTTCAGTTCCAATGTGTTCCAGCATTGTTGTTTTTGTCATGAGTCACCAGCCTGCAGTTGGCTATTTTTGTGCTTTGAGAAAGCAAGAGCAGGGAATATATAATATCATGAAAAATCATTAGGAGCATTTCAGCAATACAGTATTATGAACTCGTTTTTCAAGAAAATATACTAAGGTGCCATACTAAATATATTAAATTTGACAGAACCTACCCAAGTACAGGCTAGCTGTATTAGCTAGTTCTGTGCATGAAATAATTCCTGTGGTCCAAACTAAGCTGAGTGGGCATTTGGTCCTAGCATTTTTAACCAAGGAAACACAGGCCTTATCTTCGCTTCTGCCTTTAACAACAAAATGATCTTTTTAAAAATTATTTTAAACTTTATTTACATAGTACATAGCACAAATTATATGATCCATAATTCATAAGATATCACACCCCCCAAACAAACAGACACTCAGAGGAAATACATTTAATTTAAATTAACAATCATTTTTGGAGCTACGGAAAAAATATCATGAGTTATATTCTTTGCTTCTTCATGTCCCATTTTTCCTAGCAATAAAACGATCTATAGAAATTGGCAGGTAAAGTTATTATTGTAACCCTTTTTAAATCTGTGAGACGCCTTGGGTTCATTCGGGGAGAATGAAATAAATTTAAATAAATGAAATAAATAAAAATAAATAAAAAATTTCCTACTATGGAGATAGGTATTATCAAGGTCTGATGATTAAGCTGTTAGATGCAACCGAATAGGAATACTGTATATGCTTGACTACCATGTTTTCAAAAGAAAGGCAGCATAATAATCAAATAAAGGAACATTTTAAAAGGTAAAAGGTTGGCAAGGCTGACTGTTACTAAGGAAATGGTAGAAGCAGCATTTTGACGTTAATGTATTTATTTAATGATCTATTATACAACGGAAACGATTAGCTGAGGCAGTCTTTCACAGCCTGCTGCCTTTCAGAAGAGTTGGATTATATCACTTATAATAACCATTATAAGTGTGGCCATTCCTTGCTGGTGGGGGATGATGGAAGCTTCAGTCCAATACTTCCGCTCAATGAGAGGGAAGACTGAGCTACAAAGTAGTAGTTCCGCCTTACTATTATTAAAATTATTAAACTTTCTGAACTGAGCATTGGATACATCTCTGTGGTCCCCACTGTTACTGTCATTGTTGTGTGCCTTCAAGTCATTTCTGACATATGGCGACCTTAAGGCAAACCTATCATGGGGTTTTCTTGGCAAGATTTGTTCAGAGGGGGTTGCCATTGCCTTTCCCTTAGGCTGAGAGAGTGTGACTCGCCCAAGGTCACCCAGTGGATTTCTATGGCCGAGCCAGGATTCAAACCCTGATCTCCAGAGTCATAGTCCAACGCTCACTACAAATCCCAGGATTCCATAGGATGTTGCCATGTCAGTTAAAGTGAATTAGTGCTATAATTGTGCAGTGCGAATGTGCCTTGTTTGGTATCTGTTAGAAGCTGCACTATATGATAGGGTCACCATAATTCAAAAATCACTTGAAGGTACACAACAACAAATACTGGTTCTACATATATGGATACCGTGGACTGCTAAAAAGACAAATAAATGGGTCCTATAGCAAATCAAACCTCTTCCCTAGAAGCCAATATGGCTAAAAGAAGACTATCATACTTTGGACATATCATAAGATAGGACTCAATGGAAAAAATGCCTGATAATGTAGAAGGCAGTAGAAGAAGAGGAAGACCACATTACAGATGGACGGACTCAATTAAGGAAGCCATAACCTGAGTCTGCAAAACCTGAGCAGAGCAACTGAAGACAAGGTGACTTGGAGGTCTCTCATTCATGGGGCTGCTATAAGTTGAAGCAATTAAAGACTGTTGTTGTTGTGTGCCTTCAAGTTGTTTCAGACTTATGGTGACCCTAAGGTGAGAATCTATCATGGGGTTTTCTTGGCAATATTTGTTCAGAGGAGGATTGCCAATGCCTTCCTTCCCTTGAGGCTGAGAGAGTGTGACTTGCCAAAAGTCACCCAGTGGGTTTCATGGCCCAGTTGGGAATCGAACCCTGGTCTCCAGAGTCGTAGTCCAACACTCAAACCACTATGGCCACGCTGGCTCTAAGGACAACAATACTGGGTCTCATTTGTCCAAGGTGTCCCCTTGTTCTGAGAACCAGCATGGCGTAGTGATTTAAGTGTTGGACTACGACTCTGGAGACCAGTGCTCGATTCCGAGGTTGGCCATAAAGCCCACTGGGTGACCTTGGGCAAGGCACACTCTCTCAGCCTAAGAGGATGGCAATGGCAACCCTCCTCCGAACAAATATTGCCAAGAAAACCCCATGATAGGTTTGCATCAGGATCGGTGTAAGTTGTAAATGACTTGATGACACAAAATACAGACAGGTCCCTGTTCTTGCTCTAAGCCATAAGTACGAATTGTGCAGCCCTCTGGATGCTGTTGGACTGCAAGTCCCAGCAGCCACAGCCAGTGTAGTCCACAGTGAAGAATGCTGGGAGTTGCAATCCAACATCTGGAGAATGAAAGATGGAGATAGTTCCTGAACATTTAAAGGGTGTGTAGAAGAGGAAATTCCAGCAGGTGTTGCTTGCCATGCAACCAGGTAACAACCAAGACCTGCTGAATTTCCCTCTTCTGAACAACCATTATAGGAGCATCTCCAGTTTTCACTCTGGAAACCATTAAAAGGTACTCTAGCTGAGTTTATGATTTCTGTTGTGTGTTTGTGGGGTGAGAAAATCTGTTCTTTGATTTTGACAACAGGAATAAACCTGATGGCACTACATGTTTAATAATAATAAATGTTTAAATAATAATAATAATAATAATAATAATAATAATAATAATATTCTGAGACAGTAATAGAAGACCTTTAATTTCTCCTAACTTTTATTTTGGCCTTCGAAACATAGCTTCTACAGTTTTGTTGTATTGTGGTTGGAATTGCCAAGTTTGTTCTTATTTAATTCACGTATATTGTCCTGATTGATCTACAGCAAAATTACCTCATAAAACAATAATTAATAATATGTTCAATAACGCATATTATTATTAATCTGGATGTATTATATATTGTATATTATGTAAATATAATACAGATTATTATTATTATTATTATTATTATTATTATTATTATT